AGCCTGGGAGAAGGGAGGACATCTTTTGGAAACCCTGTACGTCATTTTGGACTCCTGGTTTAAAAACATAAAAACCGTAGCAACTTGGATGATCTTTTTGTTTACTGCAAGGTAATTGGGGGATACCCAGATTTCAAATGCTGGCTAAAACCGAGTCTTTTATAGTTTACACTGCAATGGGATATTGACTCTGTTTGATGCGTGTCTGGGAATGTTGACATGAACATGTGAAATTCATTATGTCATTTTTCTCCCATGCAGCAGCATTCAACATGTCCAGTGTGGAAAACTCCATCGACCACATATCCAAAACTGTTGTCTCCAAGAGCAGTGTCCCAAGCCAGCCCGTTCCAACAGCAGCAGTTGCGCCAACCACCACACCAGCGTCAACAGCACCGACGCCTGCCCAAGTCACACAACAGCAACAGCAGCAGCAATCACAACAGCAATCTCAACAACAACAGCAACAACAACAGCAGCAGCAACAACAACAACAACAGCAGCAGCAGCAGCAACAACAACAACAACAACAACAACAACAACAGCAGCAGCAGCAACAACAGCAGCAGCAGCAGCAACAGCAGCAGCAACAACAGAAGCCGCTGCAAACACCTGTCCCCGAGCCAGTGGAGAGAGTGCCAACGTCACAGCCTGTACCAGTCATCGCACCGACCCCAAAGCCATCGGAACCAGTCATGACAAATGGGCCCATCAGCCCAAAAGCGAAAGAGGTAAAAAGCTGAATGATTGTTGGCCGACAGGCCATGACAAAATACCCCTCCCGCCTTAACAAAAGGAGTCACAAGCTGTCGGAACAAATTTCTGAGTTCCAGGCCATTATTTCTTAAGTGAAAACATACTCCAGGTTTCATTTTGTTCGATCCATTCAGGCGTGCAGAATGAAGAAGAAAAAAGCTGTCCACGTTTTGCGTAGAAAGACAAATTTTGTACAGGATTTGTTTCATTTCTGTTGTGTACCAATTTTAGTACACTTGAACCACATGACCAATAGCTGTGTTGCGAGATGTGTAGACTGAATGCCCCAGGAACATGTTGCTTCCCAAACTGTCTTAAACATGCCGAGTTGCCCAATACGCAGGGCACATTGACCAGATACATACATCGCCTGCCTGTTGGTTGTATAATGTAGGCTGTACAGCTTACTACATTGCCCCCTTGCTCACGTTGTACACTTTAATTTTCAAAAGCTCAAAGCTGATATCAGACAAGAAAACTATAGCATTAATTTGCCGTGCACTGTTGTTACATTAACTTCCAATGTCCCTTGTGGTGTCGGTACTTGCAAGACGCAGAAGCTCCATTGACTGTTAGCTTGTGCTGTGTTTCAGAGAGCTTTTCGTCCCCAAAAGGAATTGTGGTAGTTTGTTTATAATACAACTGAATAGGCTGATTTGTTGTATATACCACACTATAAAATAATACTTCTTGTTCAAGCCTTTCTGTGGAATTGCCGTGTTGAGTGACCTAGTGGCGATTCTGTCTGATACTAAAGCTTCATGTAACATTTTTATTTTTGAAAGCATGAGCATGTGTTTGCACTCCAAAAGTATTCGTCTTTTACAAAGTTTACAGTTTTGTTGAAGGTTTATTTCTAACGTCAATCCTGTTTGCTTGTCATTTTGTTTCCTAAAATTGAGTCACATTCAAAGGCCTGGTAAAATCAAATGTTGTGTGTGTGGGCCATTTCTCTCACACAACAAAATTGCATTGGCGACTAGATATTTCTACACTCAGTTTTGCCCGGTTTCAGTGAGCAAGAAACGAAGGCCCCATATGCTGTTCCGATGCATTGGGCTAATTTTCCAACCTTTGTGAGTACTAAGAATACCATCGTGTAGTTGCCAGTACTGCAGTTTGCCAGTTTCTAGCAAAAGTAATAGGATGTTGTGGTCTGTGTGTCAGCCAATCTGTGTTTCTTGACCGGCTGTGATATTGTCCCCTTAGTCTGGATTTGTGTTTTGCACATGTCACACATATGTCAGGAAGATGGCTTCATGTTTGGTTCATAGTTAGTGCTAATGGCTTTCCTCGCTCACACTGCTTTGTTTTGTCTCTCCCCTCGCGGGTTTTTGTTTCAGCAAGACTATGCAGGGCTCTCCCTTTGCTTGTCCGTTACTCTTTGCAGCAGCAGAAATATAAAAACTGAAAGAAGTGGACTCGTAAGCACAGGGAACTCGGGGGAAACTTTGATAATATACATGATTACCTTTTGGATTTAAAAATCGATATCTGTTTTGGTGTGACCAAAGGACAGCTGGGTACAAAACATCAATTTTTAGTATGCCAGGATGAGTGCACAAGTTTTTTTGGTGAACCTTGAAATGTACCCTGATGGCGTCCCTCTTGATCGCCCCCATCTGTGGTAAGCGGTAAGCACAGCAAAAAAGGATGCTCACTTAAACCAGCATTTCCTGAGATGAGAAAATCCCCACGCTCACAAGTATGCGTTTCACATGCTTTCATAAGTGGCAAGACAAGCTGAATACGATCAGCGCAGCCTTAGTGCTGAAATGGAATGTTGCGCAGACTTTCTGCCAACCAGTAAGAAGTAGTCCTAAAGTTCCTAACCCCCCCCCAAAAAAAACTTGATCCTAGTCATACGTGTTAATACACGGGGAAACCCCCTGTTTGCATTGATCTGTGCATCTGTGTGTCAGTGTTTGTGTTGTGGATTGTGTCAACAACTCTCCCAAGTGCATACTGACTCTCTGGTTGTTTTTATCTCTTGCGTTTTGTCCCCCCAGGTGTCTCAGTGTGACCTAGTCACCACGTCTCACTATTCCTCAATGCCCCCACGGCTGTTACCTCCAGCCGGGGTGTCTCATGTACGTACTCACTCTCTTTCCCCCCTTGCCCGTCTCTGCACTCTCTCTCTTTCTCTCTCTTGATTCCTGTAGATATAATCACAGCCTTGTTAACGACCTAAACAAAAATCCCCTTAAATCTCTAACTCCATCGACATGTGCAGCTTAACTCAGTTCATCTTCAAAGTGGATTGATTTATTAATTGACAGATTTTCGATACTTTTTTTTTGGGGGGGGGAGAATTAGTTTCACATTTTTGGTAAGAAACTGCAGCATATACTCACTGACTCGGCCAGAAATTGTTTCTTAGATTTTTGGGGCTGAAATCACGTCTCTCTGATGCAGTGTTTTGAAAAAGAACTACGTCTGCAAAAGTTGGCCTCCACTACAGCACTTGAATATCTGCCAGTAACATTCAGGGATTTGGACCCTGGCTTGTCACTGTCAATTAGAGCTGTGACGGGGACAGTGAGAAGAGGTGACGCAGTGTTTGTTCTTGACCCCGTTTTTCAGCAGGAGACGAATGATACCACAGAAGGAGAGAAGGAGTTCAAGGATTACACGGTGGAAAGCAGAGGTAACGGCGACTAACTTGGGTCACCACATTGCCAGTTATCACTGTTTTTGCCCTCACATCGTCAAGAAGTCTCATATTGTGTCCACACTCGGCACTTGGTTCAGCACTTCAGACTTGTGTGTGCAGTTGAGGGAGAAGGGTTTGCCCGTAGCTATCCTTTAATAAATCCACCGGGTACTGCAGTGAAATGCTCATACTTCGGTGTAGTATTCTGACAGTGTCGGCCAAGATTTCCCCTCCCATGTTGATGAGCATGAGGTGGCAACATAATAGAAGTGTGTGCAGCAAGTTTAAGCGAGTGTTGCCGACTGCATTTACAGGGCCTGTGAGGATATGCATGTACTCTATGTGTGGACATTTTAAGTAGTCAGAGCAGTTCCACCGTGCCGTATTTCACAAAGTGCTCAGATTTCTGTTCCTTATGTTTTCTGTTTTGTTATTAAGTGGTAATACAGGCCCCCAAAGGGATGGGAAGGGGAAATCCTACTACCAGCCTTGGAACTGCATTCAGAAATCTAGCTCTGCATTATGTCAGTAGAATTCTGACTGTAGCCCAGCCGTTAACTGGTACCCCACCATTTATGTTGGTTGTGTGTTTCCTCGTTAGCAATATACGAAAGTACTTCTCAGGCGGAAACCAGCTCCCCCCCGATGCAAGAGGCCATCATCCCCCCGTCGCTGGGCGTAGCGCCCCTGGGCCCGGGCATAATGACCAAGGACCAGCTGTACCAACAGACCATGATGGAAGCGGCATTTCACCACCTGCCTCACCCCTCTGACTCAGAGAGATTACGGTAAGACATCCAAAGTATTGATCAATGTGAGCCCGTTTGGTAGCTCAGAAAGGGAAGGCCATTCAAGAACAAAGCACCTGATGTCACGCCAGCGTGAATGTGTTCAGTATGTGCGACTTGGAATACAGCTTGCTGTGAAGGGCTCATATGTTGATGTTCTTGAGTGACCTAAGACGTCGTTTCATTTTGGTGATGCGCAGTTGAGATACAGAACTGTCCCAATGCCAGTCTTCCAGTCTCCCAGTCTCAAGTTATTTAAATTAACCTTGACGGTTGTATTCTTGGTGTCATTATTCGTTCTTTGTGTCTCGTGAACGATGGGAACAGCTTGTGATTGGCTGTGTTTATAATAGTTGGAAGGGACAAGAAGTTGTTGGAGTGCAATTTTACCAGTAAGTCGGAAGTTAGTCCTCATAACATTTAACGAAAAGTTGGTTGCAGGTATAACAGGGACGCCAAACCATTTTCATTCAGTTTTCTCATTTTACCAAGTTTACCAAGAATGAACAAGTAAATACAGGGGTGTGAAATCTCTTCTTTTTTTTTTTTTAGCGGATTTCGTCTTTTTTTTTTGGATTGCCGAATTTTATATTCTGCATTTTTGCCATCGACGGGCCAGATTTTCCTCCTTTCTCTTCCCTGCGCAAGTGCAGATTTTTCCATTTTTTTCTTTCTTTTTTCTACCAACTTGACACGACGGTCAGGCCAAACTTTGCACATCCTCTCTCTGACCCCAAAAGGACTGGAGCGCTAGGGCTGGGCACCCAACTGAATCTACTTGTACAATACTGTGCGTGTACAGGTACATGGTGTGCATACAGTGTATAAAAATCTGTTACGCCATCCTGGGTCCGTCTGGTCATTGTGGCTGCCAATGAAATATCAAAATTCATATACAGTGGAACGTCGCTGTAGCGAACATTCTCCTTGGCTCCCAATGTTTTGTGCACAAAACCTACCGAACATTATGCAGTTGCAAATCAACCGAGGTTCGCCACAGCATGCATCAGAGATCGATCCTGAGCAGTAGCTTCACGACTTTTAGGATAAACTAATATCAATTTTATAACTCAAGTTTTAATAAAAATAATTAACAAATACATTTCTAAAAGCCTCAAAGGAGAATGCAATGGCAAAACATCACGAAAACAGCGAATCATAGTATCACAAGAGGTGCACTTCCATTAGACAAGAGAGGGTGCGATTCAACATGGCAACAAAACGTTCGGCAGTTAATTTCGCTATACCAAACAACCACTGTACCGAACATTTAGCGGCGTTCCTTTGTATGTGTCAGTGGGACGTAATACAGCCGTTCTTGCATGAGCGGACTAGCAAGATCCACTGTAACTTGTGGTAGCACACATTTCACTGTAAATTTGCGGCTTGAAATAAGGTTAGTAAATATTCGCTTTTGCTGACACAGAGCTTGGTGACAACTGGCACAGGGTGCACAAAGTTCTTGTGTGGTGCATTATCACGCAGTTTTGCATCATTTTTTACGGGCATTCAAACAATTTTTGGACATGAACTCATCGAAATGTCAGTGTAACACATATGTACAATCGTCCAAAGAGGTTCTGACTTGGATACAGTCTCTGGCAAGACCGATCCTCAAGTTACAAATCTGCAAAAATGGACGTGAATGGAATACACTGTAGACAGGCAGGCAACACGGTTCGTGCCCAGAAGACAATCCAAAAGAATGGACATCCAGTGTGTAGTCTTTAAAGAATTGAAATTTTGAAAATGTGGTTAGATCAGGTGGGAAAAGGGCCAACTCACTCTACAAACCTCGATAGCTACAATTTTGACATACTTATTACTAGTTCAATTTTAACCTTCAGGAATTTCAGCCAAATATGAAGACAAAGTAAAATTCAAACTATGCATAGCCTAAATTGCAAAACAAATTGCCAATTGTTGCACCAAGAGGCCGTAAAATGCACCGCAGAGCACTTGCATTTCAAAATTTTCCCGGGGCCCTTAAGTGGTCTCCAGAACCCACGCCATTTATGCTCTGCACTTCACGCTTGCGATTGCAGCTATTTTCAGCCATTTTTTAATGTTCCACTCACACCGCGGTAAATAAGAATACAAGCCCTTGATCCTGATTAGTATTAGGAAAATCTATTGTGAAGTCTGATTGGTATTCCAAGAAAACTGTCAATTGATCCTCAGTGAGACACCTCTTGAGGTTGTCTTCAATTTTGTGGACAGAACCACTACAAATGAATTGACAACCCCGCTGAATGTAGTAAAATATGGGAACCGGTTGTAATTTGTGAAATACCAGCCACGGCACCATCCAGTTACATTTCCTCTCGTCAACTGCCAAATCCAAGGCAACAGTGTATGCTAACTTTTCAACTGCTGTTGGATTGCTGTTGCCATTATTAGCAGGGCTATGGTGACAGTGCAACGGTTTAGATGGAGAGACAAATAAGAATGATTGAACCTTGGTCAAGCATGCCTCATAGGGGCCAAAATAATCGCCGCATTATTGTGACTTCGTGTCCTGTTATCCAGTCGAATTTTTCTTGCTTAATACAGATTCGTTGCTGAAAAAAAAGGTTTCATTTGCAATTTTTTTTTGGTCTTGTGTGTCCAGGAACTACCTTCCTCGAAACCAGTGTCCAACACCCCCTTACCACTGTCAGGTCATGCCCCCTCAGATGGACTCCTTAGATTTCTTTCAGAGGTTGTCGACGGAGTCGCTCTTCTTCATCTTCTACTACCAAGAGGTAGGCAAAGGTCCCAGGCAGTTGGCCTTAAGAGGCACCTTGACCATCTTGTCTCAGGGATGATAGGTGTCTTCAGACGTAGACATTCAGTTTTGAGAGTTGTGTCCTCTTTGGGAGAGGATTTTTCCCCCAATGACCCGAGCTTGGGTTTCAAGAATTATCCTCAATCCTCTGAGAATTCTTTACAATGTAGGAGCTTATTTACCAAGGGGTGTTAAATCCTATGTATGGTAAAAGTGGCTTTGCTATGTTAACTCTGCGAAGTCCTCCAAAATTGTCGGATGAATTTGGAAGGATCTTGGAAGCTAAGCGTTAAATCAATTAGATGCAGCTGTAAGGTCAAACAACTGAAATCTGTATGGACATTTATCGTGAGACAGCCATCTTGGTTTTTACCATTCAAAGCAGTGTAACCAAAATGAGGTTGGAAGGAAAAACAGTCTGTTCTCTTTTATCAATGAATGAAGATGTATTACTATTGCCAGTGGGTCTACAGGGAACTAAACAATCATGGCAGCATCATGAGCAAGGTCTATTACAGGGTAACAAATGTGTAAAAGTACAAAGCCCGTTGAATCCGTGGGAATCCACTGGTGCATTTTATCACCAGAACAGACCTTTTCTCTCTGTCAGGTCTTTTTGGAGCCAGCACATCTGCCTTCAAAGAGATCACTTCCACGGTGTACCCACAAAAATACCTCTCTAGAAGGTCTTCTATTCACTGTTTTGATCTGATGAGGTGGTTATCAATTGTCATACTTTGTGTTTTGCCCTTCCCTTGGTTTTTGTGCAGGGCACTAAAGCCCAGTACCTTGCTGCAAAAGCGTTGAAGAGGCAATCGTGGAGATTCCACACCAAGTACATGATGTGGTTCCAAAGGCATGAAGAACCCAAGACCATCACAGACGAGTACGAACTGGTGAGCACCTCACACACCAAACCTTGGCCTGTTTTCAGGCTTTGGCTTCATCCGTGGCTGAAGAATGACTTTGGAGCCTCTGGTGTCTAATAAATAAATGCAATAAGCCTTTTGCGAGTTAACGTTGACCCAAATCTGGTACACTGAGTTCTTTAAATTCACACGAACATAAAAACTTCAATTCTCCTTGCTTGCTAAAACCACTGTTGCTATACCTCGTGATTCGGGGCAAACTTTTGCTTAAGAGATGCCTTGCAACGATACACTGTTCTCAACGGATAAGAAAGGCACAAAGGAACCAGTCCATTCCAGAGATGGTGGTCGCTATGCGAAAGCTTACCCCGAATCACAAGGCATAGCAACAGTGTCTTTAGTCTGGGGAATTCAAATCATAATGTTTATGTGCAATCAGATAACTCAGTACACCAGATTTTATTCAAATTTAACTCGCAAATGGCTTATTAATGTTGGCTTTCGTTTCAAAGATTCCATATTCCTGAAGCGGAGCCCTGCAAACTTCCGAGCAGTTCATTTGTCTAATGCTTGTCCTTTTGACACCAATTTCAACGGATGGAAGGTTCATAGATAGCTTTTTTTTGTGAAGAAAACTTGGGGGAAAAGATTTTGGTGTATTTCTTTCCTAAAACTTTTTCAAGGTGCCGTAGTGTTAAAGTTTCATTTATTGTGAACTTCAGTTTGACCACCTGCAATTGGCGACACATTTTGTTTTTGTAGGGCTATCCACAGAAAGAATTTGTTCTAAGAAAGGAGTAGATCTCTCCCACAGTGATGCGCATTGGAGTCATCATTCCAAATTGGCAGACCAGACTGAAATTGGGTCCTTCATGCAAACCTGCCAGGTTGTGGGATGAACCGTTGGTTGTCTCTTGCATGTCCAGATTTTGTTAACACTTGAGAATGCAAACAAAACTTCACATAGCCATCACAAGGCCACTTTGTTGCTCTGCATACTGTTATTGTCAGCAGCATTTATGGCATTATTCCCTGGCTGTTGACCTCAAGCCTTGTTCACCTGATAGTGAAACTATCAGCCTGTTTATGAGGCCATTGGCTGTTCACCTCTCTCTTTATCACTGCAAATAATCAAAATGGCCCCCGTCTACTGTTGGTCACGTCCTGACAACCTCAAAATCTCGAAGTTGATCATGAGTGGACTACCCCAACCCCAACTCTGTTCTCCAACTTTTTGTTTGGAAAGTAAGTAAATCATCAGGTGGTTGAAAAGTAAGTCGGTGTTCCATCCTCAACTGCTTGATATCCATGCTTGATCTGCAATAAATCTTTGTCCATGTATTTATCAAGATTTCCTCATCTCTCAGTACGTTCATCCACACCTTTTTTAAGGCGTTTGTTACCCGTTATTGTTGTTATAGTTGTTTGTTATCGCATAATTTTGAATCAGTTTGTAAGGCAGCGATGAAGCAACATCAATTCACAAAACAGATTTTTATCTTATTGTATTCATCCCAATTGATGGCTTTATCGTGCTGTTTTTCGTGCTTGCCAACCTGAAGTTTTGTGGACTCGCTAGGCAAAACTATTGTCAGGTTGACCTGGTGTGAACTTTGACTCATTCAATCACCTGTATTTTGTTACAGTCAAAGTCTATTTATCCCGGCCCTATCTTAGCACTGAGAAATGAGGATCATTGAAAAAATACCAAGTATCTAACCCATTTTGATAAGCAGGTGATTATTTTGGCCTGTGTTTGTTTGTTTATTCTTGCATTCAATAGGGTACCCTGAACAGTACAGGACAACAGGGTCCCAGATTCATCAAGGGTCCCAAATTGACAATTATGTACAGAGTATGAACAAACGAGAAACAACTAGGGTCCCCAATTGCAGGAAAATACGCACTAGAGTGTGTTGGGGGGGTCAGTGGTCTGCCATCAGAGATTTTTGTTTGTCATGCTGTGGATTTCTGAGTTTTTTTTTTTAAAAATTGATTGGTTAAGGAATGTTAAAAAATTATTGTATAATTGGATTGTATCTCTGTCTTACCAACGTGGAACTGACTTTAGTGTTAGTAGGCAGATGCTGCATGTGTAGTTCTCCAGTTCTCTTGGAAATGTTCAGAAGTACATGCAGTTGCACATATCCAGAGACGACCTGTCTAGCGTGCATTCCCTAAAGAGATCATTGGGGGGGTTCAATTCCAGGGGGTAACTTTGCAGTAGGTATCGCTCAGCCAATTTCTGACACAAATGAGAGGGGAGCCAGTCCCCGCATTCATAAACTTTGCACAGCGCTTTGGCCGGTATCCGTGATGGTAGCCTCTGGCTGGCAGATGCAGAGAGTCTCACTGCTGTCAGTGCTATCTGCGACCAGTGCTCAAGGGTCGACGTGTTCAAGTTTGCACTTTTTCTACGTGACAGATTTCTTGGTGTGACCTCACTCTTTTCTTTCTGTGCTCTTTCTCCTAGGGAACGTACATCTACTTTGATTATGAGAAGTGGAGCCAGCGGAAGAAGGAAGGATTCACATTTGAGTATCGATACCTGGAAGACAGGGATTTATAGCAGGGAACGAGCCCACGTGCACTCCAGGACAAACGCCCTCATACAGAAGTGGCCAGTTGGCCATCACTTGACTATGTACAGTAAGCGATCAGATCTCTGAATGTAGGTACATTTTATCTTGGCATAATTTTACAAAAAAAAATACCAGTTCTTTTTTTTTCTAAGAAAAAAGTAAATAACAAAAAAGTTTTAAGCAGGAGGTGTTTTTTGCACAATACCATTGTAAAAAAAAACGAGAAGAAATGCTGAGGTCAATCATGATGATCACACTTGTTCGTGAGTAAAGTGGATTTCAAGAAAAAAGTTGATTTTAAATTATATTTGAACCATAGTTTTTTGGTAATGTTCTACATTGTTGCCTTTTGTTTTTTGGCCAGGAGAAAAAAATTAAGTGAGACCCCGAGAAATAAGCGAATTGTCTGTTTTCACTGTCATCAGAGGTTGTAACTCAGATTGAAAATAACACCCTCTCTTGGTTCTAACCTTGATGCAATTTCACAGCGGTCGGTTTCTGGTTTCATTTCATCTTGGCAGAGTTGCCCAATGCAGTTTTGAACATCGGGAATTCATTTATTGTAAAGCAGGGTTGGGCCACATGATTCCAAGTTCCTAATCATCAGGAATTCAGAGAAAGGAAGCTGACAGATATATTTGTGCTGGGTAGAGATTGTTGTTCAGAGACGATGTGACATAAAAAAACCCGAAACAAGAAAGGTGTTTTTTTTAAATTGTGCATCTCAACCAAATTGTGGCTGCTAACCTCTGTGAGCTTCAGCCTTTTTTCTACAGGGAGCCTTCTTTCAACAGAACTTTTCCCCACTTTTCGGCTGTGAATCTGTATGCCACGTTAAGACAAAACTGTGTGCAAGTCTGCCATCCGAAAAGGGCCCCAACTAATGAAAAAGAACTAGTTATTCAGTGCTGCAATCATTCAATTCTGGATCAGTATTCTGCCGTTATGCCTTTTTGGGGTTACGTTTTTAGATTGGAGTTCCCATGTGATATATCTTGTACTGTAATATTTCTGTGGTTTGTAAATTATTGTCAATAATATTTTGCCCAACGCGTATTTGTCAAACTGTGTATAGTCTTTATAATTGTTCACTTTTTTTGGTTGAATACTTTTTATGACGAATGTAATGCTTTCTACATCAAGTCAGGGGACAGCTGTGCTTTTGTTGATGTTTAATTTCTGTCTCTGAAAGAGAGGTCTGAAATTCGTCTGGGAATGCCATTATTGAAATATGCAGCCTACATGTAATTTGATTTTTGTCTGTTGCAGGAGCTTCATTTCTTTTTTTCTTTTTTTTCCTTTTTTTGCTCTCACTGTGAGAAGGCAATGGTCCAAATGGCAAAAGTTGTTCCTGCGTGGCTTCCATAACTTCCAAAGAGTTTGATATTACATTCCATAGGTCGGATGTATCCAGATGGGAATGGTAAATTTATCACGGCTCAGGTCTGTTGAACTACACCAGTAAAGCTCCGTCTCACACCATGTTGATATTTAATGTGTTTCTGGAACTGAGATGCAGTTTCATTTCCTTGGGTTCTGCTTTGTTTCCAGTTTGTGGGGGGGGGGAGTTACGTGTACAGAACAGACCAAGTGACCACTCCGGTGGCCAGAGGCCCACATGATCTGTAAATCAGGGATTGAACCATTCCACGAAATCAAGCGTCTAAGGGGCGCCCTCAATTGCCACTGCACAGAGCTGATACTAATCAGTCTCCATGGAGACCTACATTATAATTGGTGCTATTTATTCATACAAGTGTACATGTATTTGGTATCAGAAAAGCACGGGTTACCTTTTACGATGTCTGTTTCTTGACCCACCCTGTCAGATCTAGTTCGCACAGATCCTTGAAGTATGACTTGAGCACTGAAAGTATAAATGTTACCCAGTCTCTCGATTTGCAGGGGGGGCCTAAAATGAGCTCAAGGTTGCCGAGGACCCATTATTTGGACATAAAAGGGGGAGGGAGGGGGGAATCCAACTCCAAACATACAGATGAAGACCCAATGATAAGATCAGGTCAAGTGCTTAAATACTGCCTTGCAGACCAAAGGTCCTAATGATGATGAGACCTTGGGTGCACGCTGTCTTTGTTAGTACTTTTAAGGTACACTGTCTTTTTTGTACCTCCCCTTGGCAGTGGGGTGAGATAGCCCTGAAACAAAAGGACCTGTACTAATTATTGTGCTGAGTGTTATGTATCTTTTTGCTTGTCTTATGGCATGAACTGCATAAGCTCATATTCTGTGACCCCAAAAACTATGACTTTAATAACGATGGAGTCTATCTAAACTACTTAATGTACATCGTTTGAACATCCAGCCAAAACTGTCTGCAGTAATTAGTAGGATTTTTTTTTTATGTGAAAGTTTTCCCAAAGTAATTATCATCCGATTTTGTTTTGTCTCATTTGACTTCAACTGTTTGAAGCTCTACTTTAACTTTCAGTCCTGAAGGGATCATCATTCCTTTTTTTAAAGGTTGGCAGCTAGATAGTCACTAAGGTTAAGAGTACCCACAGATTGGTTTGTCTTCGCCGGTATTTGTTTGTTGCGTGCCGGTGTCTTTGAATGATTGCAGCACTCCGAACTACATGTAATACGATTTACAGTGAGCGTCCTCCAAAAGGGTCATTATCCCAAAGATATGCTGGGACCAATTCTCACATTGTATTGTCAGGATATGTGAACAAAGTTTGTCCAAGGTTACATCGTCTTGTTTGCACGTTCTGTCCTAGCAGATAATTGATAAGTTTTGCCTGAGTTTGACATATTCTCCTTCGTTTTGGTCGTTTGGTGCGGACACGCACTGGAAAGTAATGTGGATTTCTTACTAGGATCAGTTCAACCTCAGAAATTGCCCACCATGAATCCAGTGCAAGATTGTTCGTCAACTTAAATGTTTAAAACCGCAGAGTTTGAGATGTGCAGAATTTCTGACGGGCACGTTACAGCACACAAAATCTTATTCACACTGTGCGAACATTACAGTGTGAAATAGAAAGAAATTAGGCCACAAAAATGTTGCAATTCTCGTTACTGATTCCAGTGTCTTAAAGGACAAGAAACAGTCTCTTTTCCTAAAGATTTATCTGTTGACGATGATGTACAGCATGTCTGCTAAATTTTAAAGAAACTTGCCACCTGTTAAAAAATTCTGCGCGGTTAGCTCACTGTCTACCGATTGAACTCTGAACACATTAGTCACTCGAAACTCATCAGATGCCACCAGAGGTCCGGAAAGACAATTGACCCAATTAATCTGTGATGGAAAAATTAGTCTGCATGCAGATTCAGACAACAGACTTTTCCAAATTGCCGTAACAAAAAAGGTGTGAAGCCGGGATCTTAAGGGAGAAGATGCCAATTTTGTTTGATTTTGAGAAGTGCCTGGAATCCAGACAACTCGCTGGCTTTGCTTTATTAAGCACGAGGTTAAACTGTGTGATTTCTTTATAGAGGCTGCTTGAAATGTAACACGGAAAAAGTACTTGTACCTCGTGTCATCTGTTGCCGTGATGCTCTATCTCTGCTCCTCTGAGGAAGGAGTCAGAAAATGGTTGCAAATTCAGTTGCTTTGTCTCAGTTTTTATATAAAAGTTGTCTGAGTTAAACCTTCAAACTTGTAACCATTAGCTATGCCCTTTCAGCCTTCAACTGTTGTCGGGCCGAAATAAGATAGTTCCAGGCAGACAACTACGCATCATTATTCCAAATTTGTAATGTTTAATATCTGTGCTGTTCGGTTATCTCTGTGCAAACCTTGCTATCTCGACTGGATTTAAGCATTGTTCGAATTTTGCAACAAGGTTTTGCAGGCATTCATGCAGACGGCCATTGTCTGCGTGTGATTGCCTTAAAGATATCTATTGTTAAATGCAACAGAGTTGGAGCATCAAATCAAAGGTTGAGGTTGGTTGGAGGTGCTGTCGTCGTGATTGGTTTAAGAAAATTTCAACTGGTCGTCATTTCATTGATACTAGCAGATACTGATCCTGCTAGAAGATTTACTCATAAACAAGGAGTGAGCGGTTACAGTTTAGAACCTGTGTATCGATCACTTTTTTCCTGTCTTCTTCCATGTTTCCCCGGGCCATATTCCCGATTAAAACACCCAAGTTCAACAAACGTTTGCTTGACCGGCGCTTCGTATTGAACGCCAGCACACGACGGGTGAAACTAGTCTCAAGTCTTAGCCGTTAGCAGCTTATCAACTTAAAATGGATTCAGTTTGGCTCTGGCTAGAGCTCGGGTCTGGCACCCAGACGGTGCTTTATCTCATAGAATGAGGCATTGCATCGGGGCAGCTATCTACCTGGAGTCAAAGGCTGAGCTGCTTCATTCAGAAAGGTCTTAGGTTAAATACAAAGAATCTGAGTGCATTCAGTGGTGCAAAAGGGTTTTTAAAATGCATCTCTGACTGCCAATTTTGTTTTCTTTTGGTTTATACTGGTATCTTGTGCAAATGGAGGACTGTTGGTTCCCCAGTGGATAATAAAAACAGTCACTGATATTCGCAAAAGTCCCCCCTAGTCTTGTGTTGTGTTTGTTCTGTGTTGGTGCGATAATCGGTGCTAGTCCGTTTCCTTTGTTACTTGAGGATACGTATGCTGTTGAATACATTTTATTAAACACCATAGCTACCCGTTGTTGAATTGCAATACTTGAGGACTTACTGTAGGTGTAACACTTGAATTACAGACAGTACTATCAATGCTGATTAACAAGTTTTTCTCAAAGGAAAGGCCAGTTTAGGCCAAGGTAGTTTGCTCGCTGTGTGTGAGTGAATTCAACTTGAACGTTCAAATGAATTAACTTTAATGTCGCCGGTCATCACCGCTCGATTTTCGAGTCTAGTTGAGAATCAAATGGAAGTTATAGAACTGAAGAACAGAGCTTTAAATTCATCGAGTGAGTTTCAATCGTGGTCCTCATTATTGGAGAAAAAAGGTTCATGCGATGCATCTTTTCTTAGAGCCACCTGTTGAGCAACTATCTCTTCATAACAGAAAACTACTGGGCGCCTTTTTTGGTAAATTGTATTGAAATGTGTACGTGAAACATTGAGGGCGCCGTTGCTATGATGTCACAGGAGCTGTATATGGGGCAAGTTCGGGCGGCGACTTTGTTTTGTTTATTAATAACTATAGTTCGACTAACACCGCCCGAACGACGGGCGGTGTGGGCTATCTAGTCGCCCATTTAGAATCAGGCTCAGGGGTACGGGTCGCACCGCTGGTTATCAATAGCCGATTTCATTTATCATTACCGAGGGAACCATTCACCTGAAAATAATTGTACGAGATTTCAAAGGCCATACGCTGCGAGAATCGAAGCCAATGATGAAATGTGATTAATGATGATATTTTAAAAACCTGACCGACTAAGGTCGATGGTTCGAGTGTACCTGAATTGCACATGCGCATTGTTGAAAAGCGATCGACTAGTAGTCGAACTATAGTTCACGCCTGACGGAACTTGCCCATAGAGGGAGTTGAGACATGAGAGTCGAGATGTGGATTATGTGTCAGTGCACATGCACAACTACCAAAGAATTAGCTTCATGCTGCACCGTACACATAGTGAACAACCAGTTTGCTTCCACAGTTAGAAGTTGCCGCTGCTCTGGATGTCACCGGAGTTGGATATCACTGTTCAGACTACTTCCTGTACTAATTGAGAAGTTTCTCATTGAAAATAGTTGTGAGAAAGGGTTGTCAACTGGTTTTGTAGGTAGAAAACAACTAGTCATCAAAGAACAATGACAACAAAATGTCAAAAGTTTTTTGTCACTTAGCTGCATTGTTGAGGGGTTTTGCCCAGAATAACATCACTTTTTTGCTTATAAATATGAAAATTTGCATTAGTATAGAAATAAAAGCACGAAAATGCTCTTTCAAGCGACAAAGGGAAACTTGGAAATAAAACTGAATCGAGCACAGTGCGTCTTCACGGACTTCATTGAAAATATGCAAACAAGACTGCTGTGAAACGCAGCCTTGTCGACTGGCAGCTTAGCTTATCCCGGTCGTTTTATTTGTCAAAGCCAATTTTACGTGCTACACAGATTACGTGGCTACGTACGCGTCACTACGAAATCTGAAATCTTAATAGACAAGGAACATAATTATTATGAGCCCCGAAGTGGACCAAGAGAGGTCACAATTTTCCCAGCAAAGGAGGCTCCTTGGGTCGGAACTGCACTTCGCTGGTTCACATTATTTAACGACAATGAAATGCACGTATTACACTCCCGACCAACATGGCTCTTTTCAACCAGAGAGGGGGTACTTCTGCTCAAGGTGGATAGGGCTATAACCAACTTTGAGGGATATCCCTATTAACCCAAGCCTTTAAGGTGTTTTCAGTAAATGCTTAACGATCATTTTGACACCGATTTTATACCTTAATCCACCCCTGGCTGTGGGATGGTCCCCAAAAGCCTGGCAATAGCGACACAAGCAACTCTTGGTTGAGCACATGCGCACATCACAAATGTTTATGAACACTGCTCAAAACCTTGCATTCAGTGTGGTAGAATAAAGACGCACTTCAAAATCCACCTGTGTCCACCACAAATCTTTTAAAATCTCGTTAATCTCGTTATTTGGAGGTTGCAGACCGACTGTTTCCCTGAGTGGGATCAAACGCTGGCATAGATGCCTCAGGGAATCGTTGGTTGCCTATAAATGCCTCGGATTGTCCAAAGGTCACATGAGCAACCATGCAAATCGTACGCGCACCAAAATTTCACAACGGTAATTCTGAGCACGCCAAACAGAAGACACAGCTGTTACGGGCATAATTTATTGAAAACTGACGCAATAATAAAAGCTACCAATGCGGTATAAGCATATTGACTTTGGTTACAAAATGGGTCAAATTTTTATAAGAAAACAAAATTCAAAAGTCAACTGTACAGAAGGCAAACTCATTATCTCTTGATGGGCGGCACTGTATCTTTCCATTCGGGGCAAAGTACTAAGTGTTTGTTTCTTTACCGTGGACTGGTACTTTAGTTTGTGTTGCACTTCAACTTGTATGTTTAAACAAAGCACTTCTGTAAATATGGCCTTCGGCAGAAGAGCAATTTCAAAGTTCCCAGGCTGCACTTTTGGTCGTGAAAGCTTTCCTGTCCCGTGGTATAGTAAATGGTCGTAGTATAAATAAGGCAAGGGACGTCTCCCATGGCATCATGGTTTTATACCTGTCATAATGTATTTTGATCATTTGAGACTTAAAGCGTAGAGCTTTCTCGAAACAAGACGCATGCATCTTCTGATAAGAAAACACTATTGCAGGTGTTCAATCCGATACAAATACAGATCCAACCCGTTCATTTTGGAAACGTGCGCTTCAATTTAGGTTTCGGAATATGAAATGTATTTTCACTTCTTGGGTACTTTCCCCCGTATTCAGATGCCGCAGATGCCTTCTCCGTTATTTATCATAGGAAAATTGGATTCAGTTTAAAGGATACCATTATTTGATATTTTATAGCACAGTTATAAATATTTTTTCCAAGACAGTATAAGTTGAACACGTAAAAGTCACTAACCAAAAAGCCAGTGTGCCCCATCAGCAGTGGCGTAGCCGGGGGCGGGGGCACGCGCCCCCTCCCCCAATTTTCTGGTGCCCCAGCAGGTGCCCCCCCCCCAAAAAAAGATGAATGGATACTGAACAAGGCTAACAAAAACCTCCCCCCCCCCCAAAACAAAAAAACCACACCACTGAAAGCTGGTGCCCCCATAAGATGCAGGTGCTCCTGCCCGCCGATAAAATCCTAGCTACGCCACTGCCGGTTAGTGGAAAGAATTACGTGCTGCTACATTGCTAAGTTGAAAAAATTAGACCTCACTAACTACAAAGCCAACGTGACTCACTGTGGCTAAGTGTAAGTGTGATGAAACAAACAAATGCTCTAATTTGGCATTGTTAATTTCAAAGATAAAATTCCAATTAAGAAAATGACATTGCTAAGTTGAAGAAAAAGTACTTGCCACTAAAACTAAACAATTAACGTGATCCAAGACAGGAGGGTATCGAACCGAACTAAGGAATACAGTATGGTGAATGTGTTTAGTTGAAGAAAGGTCACTTACAATAAAAACAGTTCAGTGTGAAAGAATTAAATTAATACGAGGAATGCTGCTATAGATGACAACCGTTTGAGAAACAAGACCTTGTGTGTCGTTTCAGGGAAATAGGTTAAAATAAAACTGTGGAAACAGTGCAAGTTGACATGTCAAGTATACATCAACCCTTAGCTACAATCTTGCTCTTGGTTTATAAACTTAGGAGGCCATGATGTATGGACAGCCAGCTATGTACAGATTAAGAAACGTAAATGAATCCAATAAATATCTTGTTAAAAAGACAAAAAGATTATTAATGCAAAAGCGTGATTATTCATTTTACAAGCAGTTCGAACTAAACTTCTTGCCATATGTTTATGAGATATGGCCACTTTTACAGTCTTTGGCTACAATATCATACACGTAATAAATGCTCTAACATAAACAGTGTTTGCAAGACTAAGATATCTTAGGTGTTAATAGAAAAGTTTAATATTTCAATAAACTATACTTATTACGAAATAAAAACATTAATCTGCGAAACCAATTTACTAGCCGCCATTGTTTTGAAATTAAAATTATTGATACATATATATTCATGTACATAGAAATGTGGAATGAACAGGATTAGAAAATGTGAAATTTATTTCGGAGTCTTTTTTTTAAGTGTTGCATTATAGTTGTGCAATTCCTGTCGCAATTGCTCCTTTCTATGTTTCACACAGCTGCTGCAATCAAACATCACATTTATACCTCCTCCTTTAACAAGATAAACCAAGAAAACCGCCTCCAACAAGCCAACACCCGGCCACTTATTTGGGGCAAGCCACGCTACGTTAAAGTCCAGGCCAAAATTAGAAAATTTAGCAGTGATTAGATCTTTCAAAAATTTCCTTGTTTGCTTTGACACTCTTATCACAGTGCTATATCTCAGGTCCTAAAAAAATATGGTCGTCAGAAATATAATTCCTTATGATTGGGATTATCAGATGTCTATATAATTGTTTGTTGAACTTTTCGGCCTGAATTTGTGTTTTCAACTAGACTATTAATGGTGTTCCGCGGGGAGAAATATAGGTTTTCCCATCCAATTTCGGAAAATGTATATATGAACTAGGCCTAGTAATAGCAGTATTCGTTTTCGAGCGAAATAGAACAAACATTAAAATCCCCGTTTCTATTTAACAAATAACAATTCTATTTCAAGGAGGGTGCATTCAGTCGTATAGAGTCAGCGTTCAAGGTCCTGATATTGCACTGGTTTAGTATATTGACATTCAGTTTTGCCCAAAATTGAACGCACCTCCACGCACCTCTGCAGTCCCGCACTCATCTTAACTGGAACTCACTCTATTTCCGAAAATGTGCGGACGATTTGTTATTTAACGTATGTCTGGTCAAAAAATTAAAATTTCTTTATGCGCCAACAGAAGTTACATTCTTAGAAGTGTTTAGTTAATTGGTTAAATGTTTGAATATTCGTGATTGAAATAAATCATTCATACTGTCATTGGAAACTATAGGTCAATCCGAAATCCGGAATAGGTCAATCCGAAATCCGGAATAGGTCAATGCGAAATCCGGAATAGGTCAATGCGAAATCCCATGCACATTCATTTATTTAGAGGATGCAAAACGAAGTCGAAGGCTTGTTACTGCGAAACTAAAACCATGTCTTAAGTCGTTTCCAAAATCTACGCTAAATTGAAATTTTGTTTTGATATTTTTAATTCCACAAATGAGACGAGCATTCTCCGAAATTGGCCGGGAAAACCTATATTAAAGAGCATGTCTCAAATTGAAAAAATGGGGGGGGGGGAGTCTGGACAATTGCAAACAGGCTAATGCCTGCATTTTGCCTATTTGCTCAGTTCTAAAAAGCATCTTTCAGTTGCATGCAATTTCATCATAAATTGAATGTCTTTTCCTGTTCAGGTTACTCCTTCACAAAGACCTGCCCGATGCGCTTGCATGCGGTGGTTTGAATGGCTTAGACTTGGTTGTACATGAAACGTCGTGGATCTCAATTCCATTCTGATCATCTCATACCGTTGATTCCTGCACAGAAGAGAACACTGGATGTAAATAGGGGTTCCCCGATGTCACTGACTCGAAGAAGGTTAGATATTTAGTGCAAACACTTGCAGTAAGCATATATTTGGATATTCCAATGCTAATTTAATAACTACATATCCTGTCGTTGGGTAGGCAGTTTTGTAGATGTTGAAACTGCGTTTGCAAGAATTCCTAAAGCACAGTTGGCATAATGTAATAACATTTCTTAATCTGTCCAAAAAGCCTATTGCTAAACAAGCTTCCTCAGAGTTCAAGACGGCCTGGATGAATCCAAATTCCTGCAAGTTTGAAAAAGGTCCCCAGACATTATAGAGACAGTGTATGTTGAACAAATACACAAGATGATTTCATATGTGCCGCGGGCGGAGATTTCTTGTCACATATTGGGGGGGGGGGTTTCTGACAGCTCAGCACAGCATTCATCCCAGGTAAGATCGTGACGCTGGCAAGTGCGAATTAGTCGGTGGTGCAGGCTACGGGTGTGCATACAGTCAGTGACTTGAAAGTGTGTACGCGTGGATAAATCCACCATCTCAAAAAGTGGGGGAGGGGGGTATATCCCCCCATCCCCCGGGATCTCCGCCCATGTTATCTGTTACATGTATCTGTGAGAAAACATACCGGTGCAGTCCTAAAAAGCTCTGCGTCTGGTACCCAAACGTCTCCGGTTGGTCCAATGATTGGTGGCGCCCATAACTGCATGGCCTGGACGTTGGGAAGTCCCGCAGGAAACGTGACGAAGAGTCCCGGTGCGGCTTTAGCCTGGTCGGCCGAGGGCCCATCCAGCAGCGGTCGGTACCCCCAGAATCGGTAGGCGCCCATGGTCATGCCCGCCGACGGGGGCCTGGCTCTGTTCATGCGAGTCAGGTGGGCGTGGACCGATCCGTTGGATACGGTGTCTAGTTGTTTGTCGTCTGAGGAAGAAGTAGGAAATCAGGGTTACATGACAAGGAAAACAGATAAATATATACAGGATTTTGTTAGTTGGGATGTAGTCATCTCCCATATCAAGAACCATTCAAATTTCAAGAGAGACAGTATGAAAACTAATTAAATACATTTCAGAAATTCCTGCACACCTGTTCCCGCATAACGGAGAGTTTTTCCGTTTTTGATTTGAGTAGTGTGTAAAGCATTCTGAGATAATTCTCTGAGAAGCGTGGCACAGATCATTTAACCTTTCTTTCTTGTAAGAGTACCTCCACTCATACACCAACGACTTCTTGTACCAACGACACAAAACAGACGTGACGAAGAGATCATAATAGCCCTGTTACTAACATTTCCTTCTTTGTCGGCGAGTATATTACAAAACTGTACCACGTGCAGGAGCCTTTGAAGAAAACTGTTCAAGCGTTTTGGGCAAAACGTTAGTTTAACTGAAAGTTCGAGGTTGGGCTCGCCTTCTGCCGACTGTACATGCACTAACCGTCATCATCCTTGTTTAGGGGCACCATCTCGGCCGCGTCCATGGAAGCCCGCTTCCCCTCCGAGTCGTCGACCTCCTCCGCTTCATTCTCGAGCTTCTTCCCCCCAACACCGCATCTCTTTTTCAGGATTTTTTTGTACATCATATACGCGCCAATTACTGAGAAAATCTGGATGAAAGAAAGAATATTTCCAGGTAATGGTAACCTGGTTGATGGTATTCTCTTCGCTGCGTCACACTATTGAGAAACTACGAAACGTAATTGGGACTGTTTCTGATTTCTTCTAAGTTGAGAGGTTTTACATCAGTTATCCCTTTCTTCCCCTTTGCCTTTGAAAAAGTCCTACAAGGATGGAATCGTCAGGTCCTCTACCTTTTACAGTTGGCATATCTCGTTTCCCCCCATGTTCACTTTCCAGCAGGTGATTATTAGTTTTTTTTATTGAATATGTGGACGACAGTGAGTGCAGTAATAAGACCAGCAGCGTTCGTCAGTGGTTGAAGGATATAAAGGGTTTACAATGCCATCTTGAAGGTCAGTGCTTTTGTTCCACAGCGTATGCACAAAGGAGGTTTCCCTGTGGAATAAAAGAATTGCTCTACAAGATGGCTACCACACAAAGCCTCTAAAGTAAGACACAATACGTAGAACAGGCGCTTCCAGTGACTGACAGTATTATTTTTGTAGTTTGATAGACAGTGGAATTGGTTGCGGTTGCGGTTGTAGTCGTTTGTTGCTCACCAAGCACGATTGTCCCAGCAGGGTCCACAGGATGGCGCACGTTATGATATCTGCGTCCGGGGAGGGGTAGACCAGTCGCACGATGCCTGCCCCGACGCCCACGTTCTGGATGGCCGTCTCGATGGCTATGGTCTTCACCTGGGTGAAGTCGCGCCGGCACAGGAAGGCCGCAAAGCCGCCCAGGAAGAAAGCGATGAATGGGATGGAGAAGGAGCAGACGATCATGCCCGGCACGATGTAGGTGAAGACAAAGCGGATGGTGTAGACCCCGCCGGCCAGGGCAAAGATAATGACGACCAAGGAGACAGGCTTGAGAAGTTTGATTAGAAACAGCGCCCACTTCTCTTTGAAGACGCGGAGCAGGCAGCCGGCCAGCAGCGGGCCTATCATAGTAACCAGACCGATGATGATCTTGGTAAAGGGAATGGGAAAGGAATCCTCATCCTGGAAGCGGCGTGAGTAGATGAAGAGATTCAGCGGCATCATACCTGCAGTACAGGGTGGAGAAGGCCAAACAGAATAATGTGACTCAACACAACGAAATGAGTCCAATGTAGCCACTTTAGGGTTGGGGACGGTATTAATAGGCACTTTTTTCATTCACACATATCTGTTTTCATTGCCAACCTGTGTATGTACATGTAAACATCACAATCAACCCACCCACTGGAAAATGACTCGTTTTGTGGGATTTGGCCGCGATATGGGTGTGTGGAGATGGGTTTTAAAGAGGCAAAATGATTGGTCGTCACGGGCACTCGCTGTAGTTCGGAACTTGAAAATCACAGTCTTCCGTTGATAAACCTGTCCCTCAGAATGATCTCAGCAGGTGAGAAGTGGGAACCATTGTGGACCAACCCTTGTCCCGAAAAACTGTTAAATTTTTGCACAGGACCACAACAACTGTATTTCGTTTCTCTAAATTTACAGCAATCTTTCACTTTATTCACCAACCTGGGAACTTGGACTTTCCGTCCACGACAGGTGGTCGCCATACACACTCTTTTCTCCCCAGTTTGATTGGAACGCTGTTCAGAAATCTAGGTCAAGGTGGCATGCTCGCGGGAGCTATTTTGTCGCCTGCAACCGGGACTTTTAAACGGCCAAGGAGGTCTCGGCGAACCCCCGCTAAGCCATCATGGGAGACTGATGATAGGATCAAGGGGGACAATTTTGATTCCCATCATTATCAACTGTTATTAAAAAGGGTATTTTATGATTCTATATACAGGTCAGGACCTTTACAGGTCTCCACTCGTCGTGACAATATCCATCAGCTATTGAAAATCTATCGCCCCAGTTTCCCGACGCAGTGCCTGACAGTTGATGGGGAGAAAAGTTTTTTGATTGGGAAAAATATTAACGAATTGTAATTTGGATTAAAATTCGAAATTCTTGTTCAACTGGCTTACCTAACTGTGATTTTGTGTCTGCAATTTGTCCAAATGCTCCTTTTACTCTATTATGTTGTCACCAATATCTGCAGTCATTTTTACGATTGAAATTTTAAATGGTCAGCTCACGGAAGTTGAAGGATAAATTGTTTGATAAAGTGTTCAGGCAGGGACGTGTGGGCATGTATACTTCGCTGGTATTCACTAGCAATCAAGCGATATCATCATAGAAAATACAATCCCAGTCGATATTGTCAGAGGCATGCTTTGTACGCACTTGAAGTTGAAGGGCATCACGTTCTTCAGGGCATTATTTCCCCAGAGATAGTTTAAAATATTCATGGTGACCTCCGCGAAGGACCTGGGGTGGGTCCCTCGACATCGACCCGTGTTTATTGCGAATTCTCTAGTGTGGTGTTTAAACTTCAGCTTAGAAAGCCATATTGGGTGTCCGGTGACTGATTAAGGGGAAACGGGGGCATTGTGCGTTTAAATGCTGACGGAAATGGTAGTCTGTAATACTTAGCGTTGATGGATAATTCTGCAATATTATTGAGATGTAACAGACCATAATTCAACCAACCTCGAAGCGATCAGGGATCGGACAGGAGCAATACTGAAAAAGCGCTACATCGTTATTTGCATCACTTTACTTGTTGCAACGGTAGATATTCTTTTATTGGTTCGTCATTAGCCCCATCACTGATACTTTTGACAGACAAGTTTTGGTATAATTCTGTTTAAGTATACACGACCTTCGGTAATAAACCACTACATGACTTGTGATAGGTTTAAAGAGCGAGTGAACATTTTGTGTCGATCTCGGGAGGCAACAGCCTTTGAGGTTTGGAATAAAAAGAATATTGAATAAACAGGAAGAAATAAAACCTGTTGAGAAAAGGTTGTACCGGGAGTTTTCTATTCAGAAATTCGAAGAGTAAAGAGACCGACGTTAGTTACCAAGAGCAATGATGGTACTGAAGAAGGTCATAGCGATGCTAAGGAGCAGGTTGGCATCGATGGCCACAGAAGTCATGTTACTCAGTCCTCCCCCCGGTGAGCAAGCGGCCAAGATGATACCAATGGCGTGGTCCGCGGACAGATCGAAGATGATGCACATGACGAAGGCAGTCTGTTAGTAAGGAAGAGTAATAGACCCTTTGCATTACCAGCAGCCATCTTGGGGGTGTTTTCTGTTACTCTCATTGTGCACAAAGGGTCTAATCGTGTGTTTAGAGGATTTCAATCACGTGGTTTGTGACAGTCAGCGTTCAATTTAGGGACCGTCCATAAAGTACGTAAGCACGAAATGCCGACTTTCAGACCCTCCTCCACCCTGTACGCATGGCGTACGTAGTGGCTCCACCCCCTCCCCCGTAGGCATACGCATGCCACAATTCCGGAAGATACTGCCGATCTTTTAGTACCTTGCAGTTTACTGATAATGGGCGTTGGCATGGGAAGATAAATGGTGGGGTCGAGGGTGGAGATTTCGACGTACAAAAGCTAATTCTGGTAGTTAATTGAAAGTGGATTGGTACGACATATGTATATGACAGTGCTTTGTACGGTACGCACTGGCTTGAACCCCCTCTGTACTCATGGTAAACGCAGCGGCACCAACGGGCGGCCCCTTGTGCTTGCAAATGTGCACGCCTTCGAAGTCTCTCCATATTCTAGTATGTGTAACTGCCATGAGAATATATCAAAATGTATGTGCCTCCATACGGACATGGTACGCTTTCTGAAATGCCTTCGCCCGTCTTGTTACGTCAAGTGAAAAACCTCTATCCACGCGTGAGGAGGCCGTGCAAACACGTTTCAGGCAAATAGCTAAGCTGAATGCACAGTAACGGCATGATAGTGTCTATGAGCTTCATTTCCTATGACATTAGACATTTCCAGCCTGCCACAGGATATATTTTTCTTATCATAAATCGTGAAGCCTAGGCATGAAAACAATTTCAAAACAAATCATTTCTTGCTGAATTTTACAGCGTCTATATAACTTATTTCAAGTTTGATAGCCTTTCCTCGTTTCCTTCTGAATTGCACTTCTTAATTTCCTTTAAACTATAACGATTGGAGGTATGTTCACATTTTCAATAGATTGTTTTCCTGTGAACTTAAATCCATGCATTTCCAGATCCCTTACGAGTGGCATGATGATAAACTGGCTGAAGAATCCAATGACCACGCCGAAGGGTCGTTTCAAGATCTTCTTAAGCGGGGCCCACTCTAACTCACAGCCCATGATGCCCGTCACCATGGCGCCCAATACCAGCATGACCGTGCCAAAGGCCAAGTCGAAAGCTCTGTTGACGAAAGAAATCGACATGAAAGTTTGACCGTCGATCTTGGGTAAGAGTTGAAGTGTTTCGATCCTGGCTACCCTTTAAGACAGATTTCCCCGCTGTAAAGAGATATCACCCACACTGATTGAAACAAAATTAATCTTTCTAGTTTTGGGACATGGTACTGTGAGTCTGAAAGTATCTCCTTTGAAAACAGCGAATTGAAAAGTTGTTAAAAGTGAATTGTAACATAGACGTTTATAGTACTTGTCTTGCGTATAAATCCAGGGTGGATGGAGGATATGTCCCTCTTTGGGGGAGCAGGGGATATGAGCCATAGGTCATATGATGGTCATAGGTCATCCCCCTAAGTTTCTGTGTCAAGCAAAAATAAAAAGTTTAATGATATATCCCAAATATAATCAATAAAAGACATATTAAAGTGTAGTAAAATAGATAACTGAATAACAGATCAGCGTAAGATTTAGTATTTCTTTCAGAGAAGATAGACGGGCGGGTTACAGGGTTATGCATGCACATGTTTAAAGATACTTTTCAGAACTTGGATGAAGTTTTTCGACAATCTGAATTATGTTCGGCCATTCCAGTTACAACATCGATCTTGGGAGCCAACCATAAATTCATATTAAGCTCATAATAACAGGTTTTGTTGACAATAGAAAATAAGTATATTGGCATACATTTTCTGTTAAACTTAATATGATATAACGATAACACCTGGAAATTTCACAGCAACAGAAAAATGCACGGAACCTATGAAACGCTATTTCATTTGAGGGAGTGGGGTAGCTAAGGGACTATGCGAATGGGTATGTGTCACATATGTGCCCTATTTAGCCCCTCTACCCAACGCTCACCAGCCATCTTCAATCCCCCACTCGCTAACACAGCTTAAATTTACACCACTGAAAGGGGAACCACTGGAAGTGGTTTGACAATTAGTTATTTACCCGCATGTCCACACCTTTACAAAAGTGTTTATTTTTTTTTCAATGAACTTTTCCACTTTCATTTTATGTGCAGAGTCACCTTTGCCCATAACTTTGCTCAGTCGGAATAGCTCGTAATTCAATGCCCCTGGCCCCCTGCTCGCAAGGTTGTTCAGCTATGTACGCAGACAGACGCAATTCAAGCCGTCTAGAGGCCCCTACTCAAACGCATGCACTTTTGGTGCAAAAGCTTAGCCCATGTCATTCGATCGCTGGCGATGGTACGAATTCCGCCTTGAATAAAATCTACCAGCGGACACGCGCGTCACGAGTATCCAGGGACAACAATACATCCCCAGCAGGTGCGGAGCAGATCAAGGTTTATGACAGGGTTGAGAGAGAAAAACATGGGCTTCTGATTTCTGCCTGATTGGATTATGGATAAGCGAAAAAATTCAGGAGAAAATATCGTAAAGCTTTAGTCTATAAATGTCTGATGTTGGCTCGGTGAAACATTGTGATTTGTAAATACCAAATACCTCACTTCGGTGGTCATGCATAAGAAGGCTTATTCGCTAGGGTCGCATTGCAGGTACTTTACTAAACAAGTACTAAAGTTAATGGTGATTTCGATGACAATTTTACCGTTAAGCCCATGCAAAATAAATACACAAGACGGTTTGGCAAAATTTGACCTTGACCTTGTGAACTTTGTTTCCATGAAGGTAGTTGTTGGGCACATAAATACGCACGTAAGCGCATTTGTCTGGAAGTCTGTGGTCTGTTAATGAACATTTCGTGTTTCCTAATTTCTTCTTGGCATCAAATTTGCTTGTTTGGGAAATTTCAGCCTTCGGGGGAAATGCTCAGTGCCTGGGGTTTACAGTGGGAGCGCTGGAACTTCCACATGGTGAAGGCCGTCCTTGTATGATGAACTTGTTTACTATAGTGGTGATCGGAAACCATCCGTTTGGCAATTACCCCCCAGCTGGTCCGTCCTGCTGAGCGAATGTCATTCATAACGATCCCGTACCGGTAGGGGTCACAATGAACTTAAGCGGTGGCTTGTTGATCGAGCATTACCCAGAATGTCACCGCCACCCAGCATATTCCTGAGCTGAGGAGGACTGCTGGTCCATCACCAGCTGTTTCTCACTGTTTGTAGAGAGGGAGTGGACCTTCGAATATAATTATAGTATTTGACATCTGTGCTGATTTTTTTTTTTTTTTTTAGTATTGAACACAACTGCGAAATCGCCTATCTTGCGAGGTTGCGACGTCCCTTCAGGGTCACCATACCTGTCTATGGAGATTTACCGCAATCAGTCTGTAAACAGGTCATGGATTTGTCTTGCATCAGAACGATATAGGCCCAAAAGGATTTTTCTTCCAGCAATCAACCATCCGCGGAACCAAGCCTGTTATGACGGAGTGTTGACCGTTTAACTTTTCTCTAGTGTGAATCCCGCGCGCTGGAGAGGATCCTTCCAAGATGTTTGTGGCTTTTTTACTTGGTCACGCTGATTGCCTTGCTACAAATGCCGCATTATGTCTGCCAAGTGCAAATGATTATGAGCGAAACGATTACAAGCAATTTAAAAAGAATCACGTAGCCTTAAGTTAACCTGAGCAATGAAGCACATTCTGGGTTAAGGGAATCTGAATTGGAAAGGATTTGTTTTAGTTGAAATATATATGGGTATAACCATACTGAGATTTTAAAGTTTGTGCAAAATCTATGAAATCAACGGCGGCTATATACGTGCCTCTTACTTGGTGGTCATTTAATAACTGATGAAGTTTATACAACCCGCTGAAATAGTAGTAGTTTTCATAATAATCTCAGTGAATTTTATAGTAAAGTCTTGAAATCGCTGAGCATTTGCACAGTTAGCTTGTTACTGTATACAATGTATCTATATTGGACCCTTAAAAAGTTCGAACACCCAGGTGTGTTCCCATTATTTCCCTGTGTAAATAATCGATAACATACTTCAAAAATTTGTTTGTCCACCAAGTATCACCAAAGTAAACTTGTTATTAGCAATTGACGACGCCACATATCCTAAAAGTCAAGTCGCAGGCCTTTACTCTGGGTCAGGTCAGCTGTGGGTGAAATAAAAATGGGAATGACCAGTATATTCAAGAAGTTTAGCGGTTGAGGTCTGAGATCATTTTTTATCCTTGGTAATCGCAAAATGAGTGTTTAATTTCCTTCAGGGATTCTGAGGTCCTGCCATGTTGGGAACGGCTTTGAATGCGTGCTCAATAGGGCAAATACAACGATGGCCGCAAACGGTCGTAAATCTTGACTGAGTTTTATTTGCTCATTGAGTCGATGGGTGCAGGGAAGTTAACATGTTTTATGTAAACGTGGCAAGTCTGTGACAGGGTTACTGGCATCTTACTTAATTGGGCTGAGTAAATTTGAATAATTCACTAGTCGAATATTTGACCTTCAATTCTTTGGAATATCCGAATATTCAGTCGTACAGGTCGGCAGATTGTTGATGAACAAACCCTTTTATACAATCAGTTGCAATAACGGACGCAATTGTACATTATAATCAATATAATAGCTTCTCACGTCCAGGAGTATCTCCTGCCACGATTTTGCAAGATTTAAGAGACGAACAATACTTCTTACCCTGTTGAAAATTTCTGGTCCTTTTAAATTGTTTAATTAATAATTTACGTTTTGAATCGTCGTAAGATTTCTATCGCTTTTCATTTAAATCTGCTTGAAACAGGCCTCCATAGTGCAATTTTTCTCATTTCAACTAACAAAGAAAATTCCCTTTTCCTTTCATGCATTTTGCATTTGAATATTCAAATTCGGAAAATAGTATTCGAATATTCTATAATCGATCGAACATTCGAATATTCGGCACAGCCCTACTTTTTATACTTCACGACCAGCTTCGGTTGGTTGAGGCAAGGCCAAGAGCGTAAAACAACTTAATTCCTCTGATGGCATTCTTCCTCTGCCCATGGAGGCAGCAGGCCCCGTTGGACGGGTGAGAGGAGACAGCCTATACTCGTTGATATATCATCGATTTTCTGTGGATTAATCTTTGTCAAATTTGGAAGCAAGGTCATAAGGTACATAATTCCCACGAGAGCCTCTGGCGGCGGTATCGCACTCGCACACAGATGGTGGGCGCGCGTAACATTCCTCCTTGACTAGGGTGTTAAGGCTTGCCACAGAGCGCCCACACACCCAAACGCGCGTGTGAGTGTAGTGCCACCGAGGTAATTGCGACTCCTCGTATAAGCACACAAATAATGACTTTTTATGAGAAGAATAATAAAAAAAAATCATGTGATGGCAGATGAAATGCTCGATCCACGAGACGAAGCCGAGTGGAACCAAACGTTTCATCTGTCACCAATGAAATTATTCTTAACATCGCACGAATGTGAAATAGTCATTATTTCTTTCTGACAATACCGGCATAAATTCTCTTCTTTTGGAAGAACAAATAGATCCCGCTCGGAAATTAAAACGCCCGTCATTTTGCGAAACCAATTCGTGCCCGACGCGCCAGCGACTGTACTGGGCAATGTTAGACTGGTTTCCCTCTTTACATTATTTTCCTTTTTCTTATATACTGTGAATGAAATATAGGAAATGGGGCGGGAATCAGGCGAGTGAACATTCAATGAGTACCGTTGAATAGAACGAATAATGCAATGCCGTGTGATCAACGATCCACCAAACAGATGACGGGCATTTATTCAGATATTGTATAATATGGAAAAGATGTTTTCAGATTTCGATTCTGGGATATGGATTGCAGTGGAGTAGACTAAATTTTACTTTTCGCTTGACTTACGTTGGTATCCGCATGTTAAGAACGTCAACATCCTTTGCGATAGCAGTCATCACGGGATCTAGCACCATTTCGCCGTCCACTTCCCGGTACAGCTTGAAGCTCAGCGTGGTCTTACCGAAGCGGTGGCCGATAAGGGTGAAATTACTTGCTAAGGGTGTGACATCGTCCAAACGTAGGTCTTTAAGACGCCTCATGAGCTTTGCGTTTAATCCCCCTTCTTCGAACGTTTCAAAGTCTTCCTCGTTATCGTCTGGATTAACGTCGCCCTTGGCATCACTGTCTTCTTGCCCGAAAGCATCGTAGGAGAAGGCATCCAGAAGAGTCAAATTGAAAAACATATCCGATGAGAGATTTCCAGGCACTGTGCTGGAAATCTCTACCCAGCCGTCCTCGCCGATCTCGCCCACTGCCGTGTCGCTGGACGAGATGTGCAGGGTGTAATTCTCCAGAAACCGGGGAAAGGCAAACACCACCTCCCTGGTGGTGAAGTACTCCACGAAAAGTGGCATCCTCTCCATGAAGGCGATGACCGAGGGGAGATACGAGATGAGCGGGGACTCCGTGGTTAGGAGTGGGGTGCCAGTCACCATTTGTTCGGTAGGCTCTCTGGGCTCGGCTGGTGCCACACCGATGCCTATCGAGGTCAGGGCAAAAAATGCCGCCAAGAAAAGCAGGGTCATGCTGTATTCCAGAACTAAACAATTCAACAAAATGAATTCAACACCATCCACCTCATGGATGATGTAAAGTAATAAACAACGCTTTAGTTCGGGATCACTTTGATATACGAGCTCTTGTTGTATGTGGTTATAAGCATCGCTTTACAAAACGAAATTTCTAAACTCCACGCTAATGAAACGTTCATTCAACTGCACTGGTTTTGCGCGTAGACTCATCAGTACTGATAAGTTCTGCTTGCTCTGCTAATTTGTGCAAAATGCGTTTTATCTCCAAAGAGAATCTCCAGTTGAAACCGCTCAGCTTCCAAAGTACATAGCCTGATCTGAACTGTTCATTCAGTCGGGTAGCCATGACCATCGTGGCGTGTAAGGCAGTGTGTAACGCGGTTGGTTTTTAAATACTTGTCGCAGCCGGCCAACGGAATCCACGCACACCTACATGAATGCAGTCGGTGACGAACTCTCGACCAACCACGGGCTAGATGACAGTGGGAACAGGTGTTCCATGAGCCCCACAGAGTGACAATGGTGCGCTGGGTTGAAAGTACGCACGCAATTTGCCCAAGTAAAAATTCGTATATACTGTGAGCACAGGGCTTGAGGGATTTCCTGGCCTGGAGTAAACGGACTCCGATTGTTTAACTTCAGTCATTATCAACTGTTTCTCGCATTCCCAAATTTATTATAAGACTTTTGCAGTAACCTTTAAAGCATTAAGAAAATGGATGGGGCTTTTTGGGAACCAAACGCTTTAGCTAAACGCAATGGTGCACCTACGAGTTGTCGTGCTTACTTTTCGTAATTTACTCTTTTGGCGAAAGTATGAAGAGTATGATCTACCACGTTAATCTGTGTCACAGTTGTGTGGGAAGACCTTTTTGATCAGTCCAACATTAGCCCAGAAGCCACAGATGCTGGTGCCATCTAGAAGCGCATGCGCGTAAAATTCCCATTTCAATGTAAAGATCTTATGATGAGCTGAGCTTGGCTTTAGTATTGTGTATTTTTCATTTCTGCTGAAGAAGATTTCAAAAAGTGGAATTTCAGACACCCCTATTTCAATGATTTTAACTTTCTCCAATAGAGTCATTCGAAATTTCCTCAAATTTGCATGTGGAAAATCATTTATTCATTTTGAGATTTCTCCACAAATGAAAAGTTAAGGACTTCTCTCTGCTGCTTGGTATACCAAATATGGTTGCATGTGGAAGATTTCTTGACAGGTGACTTTTGAGATAATGTTTCGCGCCATTTGTCTAGCGTCTCCATACTTGTGTTGCAGCATGCATTCATACGAGCATGGGTGTGTGTTTAGTGGATGTGCGCCCAATCCAGCTCCACCACTGGTCAGTCGTTGACAACAGTTCGACTTCAGGCCATTTCATTTCCAAATAGCCTTGAATTACACTGGAAATTTTGTGATCCAATTAGTGGTGGTAGCTGGGTTTTTGTACAATTACAAGATCGACCGATGACACTTCATAAGGTCATACTCAAGGGCAGATGGGGGTGGCAACGGGGGCATGCCTGCGCCCCCCCCAAAAGGACGAGAATTTTTAATCAATCAGAGTGAAAATAATAGGTGCTTACAAGGAGGGTGTTTTGTATGGACAGAGCCACTTTGTTCAGGAAATTGTTTCTAAGCTGCTTCTTAATACGGGCAATTCACAATAGTGCGCCACCAAAAGTGTGTAACACGTTGGCCAATCATAATTTGTCGACCCTTCTCAAACGCGCAAACTCTTGGTGGCGCACTATTGTGAAACGGCTGTATTGTGACTAGTCCAGTTAATGCATATTAAGTGCACCAGGGACGCTGCTTGTGCTTTTGTCCCCCCCCCCATAGTTCTGGGTCTGGCCGTGGTCATACTTTCACAACACCGTGCCTTTATGTGTGTCTATGTATGTTTTACAGTATATGCACGTGTTTGTAGGAGTACGATTTTGCATGCATTTTATTGACGCCAACAAGATGTCTCGAATACGGGCATTTCACAATAGTGCGTCTCCAGGCCAAGGCTCTGCAACGCGTTGGCCAATCTGGCCATTTCCTTTGCGTTTGACAGCTGCTACTACACTGTTTTCAGTATGTCATTAACATTAAAATTACCCCTACCCAGAAACAAACTCGGTGGAGTAGTAAATGAACTCTTCAACTTGAAGCCATTTAAAACAACCTAACAATTAATGAAAAACGGAAAATGATGCAATCTATTGACAGCATGGTTTCATTGTGTTTGTTTTGTTTTGATGGACCGTCCTCTGTGCTGGATTCCAGGTAATCAGACATGGCTTGCGAGATGCTGCTTATGAGGCCCTGAAGAGCTAAAATGAAAAGTGCAGTACGCAATTATTTCATTGGTACAGACACATATTAACAGCCAGCATAAGCAGTTAGCTCTCAGTAAATAGTCTTTGCTAATGCAAAATATTATCAGGCACACCTGCTGGACTGCAACAGCTGGACTGCTGCGTAACAGCGCGCAGAAGCGTTGCGTCCGCGCGCAACTTAATAAACAAAGACATTCTTTGTCAACTTGGTATTTTTGAATCGTTCCGTCTTATTCTGTGTAACGGTACAAGTCTGCAAAAAGAAAACCTTCAGGTAAATATAGCCCAGGTGGACTCCCTGACCGTAGTACGTTACGGAGGGGTGCAATACCGGGCGAAAAATTTTGTAACTAAAATTTGCAACATTTCTACCTTTTCCAAGGAGCCAATTAAACTTCTGTAACTCCTATGCGTCCTCATCTCCACGTCTGGTGGGTTAAGAAATTCGACACATCACCACCAAAGACAAAAACGGGAAAATAACGTCGGATGTAACGTTAACTCTTGCCATTGTTGTGGAGTGTTTTCAGCCGTTCTCCAGTGCAGTACACGCACGCACATCGAAACTACATGTTCTGACTGGAACCAGCGACACTGAAGTCTAAACATTGATCTCCATTATATAGACTGGAGAGGACATCGCGTCCAAAACGCGTCCCGCGAATGCGTATTTTCAGGAGGGTAAATAACGAGCGTTGCGAATTTCGTTGCGTCTACTTTCAAATTGAGTTTTATCAAAAACTGGTTGAGGTTTTTGTGCTTTAATCGTCAGATTTCGAAGAAAAACTGAACTCTGCACTTGGAATGGAAAAATTTGGAAAGAATAATAATTGAGCAGTGAATTACCGGAGATCAATGCCAAGTTTGGAAGAAGGAACAGAAGGAAATGTGAGTCGCACTTTTCTGGTTTCAAAAAGTTTCTCAAGTTGTATTTTATAATGCTTAACTTTAAGCCGTACAGTCCTAGTAAGAAATTTACGACAGTCTATCTAGCCTATCAGGCTTTGTATATGAAACTTCACTATCTCGAAGTTGGGACCGTCTGAAATGTTACTTATTGGCAAAAGTGGTTTCAGAAACCGAATGACTAATTTGTCGTTTATTTTCCCCAAATTTCAACAGAAAAATCTCCAAGACAGCCATGATTTGTGTTTGTCGGATCTAAAGACGCACTGAACCCAAATCGTGTGACAGACGATGTGATAATTATGAGTGACAGAATTCTTCTTCAGTGCAGAGATGTAACCAAATTTGTGGTGGAATTCTCAAAGTTTTACACACTGAACAAATCACGATTGAACGGACCCAAAATGAAAGTATTGCTAAAGCAAGACGGTCGACAATAGGTGTAAAATAATGAATTAAAAACAAACACACACAAAAACAGGTTAACATTTTCGCTTTCGAGTGGGTTAGTTAATAAGAAAATGGTCAGTTATTTCCGGAAATGATATTCTTGCATTTGTTGTTGACTTGTTTTGGGGAGGTAGGCCGAGGACTCAGCCATCATCCCACGAGAAAAAGGTTATGTTGACCAGAAATGTACAACATACAGCATCACATTACCCTCCTGAAGCGCCGCCATTGTTCGGCCGCGCATTTTGTGCACAAACAATGCACGATGTCCTTTCCAGTCTATATAATGGATATCAATGAGTCTAAACGATCCACTGGTTTCGAAAACGCTCACCGCACAACGGCACGGTGGTTCTAAGCCGCGAGTACCATTAATCTCCATGCCGAGTACACACAACATCGGGCCGGGGGCGAGGCTGTGGCGTGCGTTGGTGACAGTTGGTCTTGTTACCTGCACGCAAGCTGAGTCTACTACGGTCAGTATGGGAAATTTAAAATTCACGATTTGTACAAATTCTGGTCATTTTTGAGCATGTATTATGTGTTAACGGGTGGACTTAAAAAAAAACAGACAAAAGATGTCCACAAAATTCGATAGAAGTTAAGTGTCGAGGGGAGAGGGTATTATCTAGCAAGGCACACTTCTGTTGCTAACAATTTACTAATATGTGTTGATTTGTTCCATTTTAAAAGTTATACCGAAAATATTTTTTAAAGATGGAGAACTTTTCCAGAAAGCGCTGGCTAGATAATTTTTTTCAAGTTAATAAACTAGACTGATATGAGAGTCAAAAACGACGATTAACAATCTCTTGGGCCTGAATTTAAAAACGAAAAATCACCTACTCCGAGTAAAAACTCCGACATAGTCTGGCTATCTGACCATTGCTCTAAAATCCAACCTGTCACTGCCAATGACCAATTCAGTCTAATTACTGTATGTTTAGTTTATGAATAAAAAAAGGAAAGGCCGATCAACAGCACGATTTGTGTGTGATCGCTGCTTACCGCAGGTGCGCGCGCCAGTACTGCCTCTGAATACTGTGTTCCCCTCAGTATAGAAAATGATCGCTCTCGCCTGTTCATCACGATCATCATGCTCGCAATGTAATCCTCTTTTTTATTCCTCAATTATCAAGATTAGTTATTGTTTCATTTTAAGAAAAATCAGATCTCTACAATATTGTTTATTTATACATCTTCAACCAATGAAACTCTATGAACAAATTAAATATGTTAAATACTTCAAAGAGAGATCGTTGATGAACTTCTTGCCATACAACTACAAGAACCCTGCACATAGGCCTACAAAGCCTTCTACACTAACTGAGGTAATTCTTTTAAAATAGCAGCTTGTGTTGCAAAATTATGTTTATAAGCCGTAATTTAAAGCAGAACAAATATGAACATTTTAGCGGTAACCAATAGTGGGTTCATTGGTCAGTCTGAAAAAAAGCAACTGCATTTTATATCGGCTTGACGGCACGCGGGTTAAAGCCGGGTACCAGTCACGGCCTCCGTGTAACAGGCGAGCAACAGACCCTCACTGGAAATCGCACACGCGTAGTGTGCGCCCGCAGCTCGGATTCCTGTACTGTACGTGCGTGCACTTTACAACTAGACTCGAGAACGGATGCATATGTCTACAAAAGTAGTAATATGCGAAGGAGAGTTCCAGATC